CAGGGACTTTTCTGGATGGCGTTTGCATGTTCTCTCAGAGCATGCATGGGTTTTCTCTGGGTACTCTGGTTTCCTCCCACAAACCAAAAACATGAATGGTAGGCTGATTGGTAACTCTAAATTGTCCCTAGGTGTGAGTGAGAGAGTGAATGGTTGTCTCCATGTGTCCCTGTGATGGACTGGAGACCTGTCCAGGGTGTCCCTCACCTCTTGCACAGTGACCGCTGGACATAGGCTCCAGTGACTCTCGTGACCCGAAAAGGAAGATGCGGGTAAAAATAATGGATGGATAAATTGTCCATAGGTGCGAGTGAAAGTTTGGTTAGTTGTCTAATACTTCTCTTTGTTGCCCTGTGATGAATATGCAACCTGTCCAGGGTGTAAAGTACACCACCTCAACTGGCTCCTCTCGGTATGGAGGAGAAGTGACTCTACTCCAAGTCTCTCTCGCATAACTGAACTTCTCCCCTGTTCTTTAAGGTCCAAAAGTTTGTGACCACAGGTGAGGGTAGGAACATAGATTGACAGGTAAACCGAGAGCATTGCCTTGCAGCTTACTACCGCTTCACCGCATTGGACCAGCACAGAGTTCGCAATTCTGCAGAAGCTGTACCGATCTGTCGATCTCATGCTCCATTCTTCCCTCGCTCATGAACGAAACCCTGAGACACTTGAATTGAGACCATAAGCACTTGATGCTGTTCTTATCAGGAAGGATGTAAAATGCACTGAGACTGCCTAAATAATTTCCACTGTCTAAACCCGATGAGATAATCACACCGCGTTATAATCTTCACAATCACTTGAGCTCCCACTTCATGTTTAATTCACTGAATTAGGCTCCATTAGCTTCATTCACAGCACAGCGTACACTGACCCGGAATTCGGGCTCACACAGCGTCAGTTGGTAAATCAGTGCAGATGCGCTGCTTACCTGTTTTTCCACTAATGTAAACAAGTCTCTGGACTTGAGCGCGAGTGTCAGATGTAATCGCTTCCACGCCACTGACCCAGCCTGCTTTCATTACGGCCGCTCCTCCACCACAAGAAAACGAGACGCTACATAGACATCAGGGTGGCTGATTGTCATGGTTGGTCGCAATCAAATACCCCCCCCCCCCCCCCCCCATTTCTTTAGTCAGGTACAGTGACTTTTGAAGGTCTCATAAGGAGTTCAATGATAAGTAAATGCACAAAGATGTGTGTCACACTCACGTTCTACTTTCTACTTCAAAAACAGAGAAAGTAAATCATAGACTGCTAAGTTAGCACAACTATTTGTATCATAGTCCAAATGCCTGCTGTGAAAAGCCACCCTGGGCTTTTATTCCTTGATGTGTCAAAATGAAAAAACAGGATGAGCTAACATACTTTTTACCCACAGCAATCTCAAAAAGCAGCGAGACCAAACAGTTCATAAATCATTGAGGTAAGTGAGAGAAGTGGCAACAAAATGGATAAAAAAAAGCTGGCAGAAGTCAGTATAAATAATGGATGGATGGATAGATGGATGGATGGACGAAGAAATAAATCCACAAGCCAAGAGGAGGACAAGCATAAATTATTGGGAACGTGGAGCTCGTTTCCAAAATTTACTCTGGCATGTGTAAATAAAGTAGCTCATGTTTTAATGCCAGGCGAACCCCAGGTCTAAAATTATCTCTAGTCGGTTTTGTTTTTTGTTTTTCATCTTAATTTATTCAAAGGCAAGAGACTTGAGAATGTAATTTGGGATGTCAGAATGCAAGATCCATAAACAAGAGATCCAAGCCAAACGCATGAGGATATAAGAAACGTAACCACTCGCTTTAGACCTTTTCTTGCTCAAGAAAGACCTGGAACCAATCGTCGTCAACCCCATCTGTGCCGTTCTGCAACAATCTGCTTTGCAATGTATCCACACCTTCTTTTGGGAGATGTGAAGTCTCAATCACTGAGAGGGTTTTTTTATGGATCATTGTGAACCTCCCTGTACCGATTCAAGGCCACAGTATTTCACTGTGGCATAAGAGCTGTGCTGCATAATTCACTACTGCTCTCAGACCTGTCTCATTAGGAATCCTGGCCATGTTCCACGTCTGAGAGTGTGAGGCTGTGATTGACAGAGACTGTAGTCGGCTTAGGACAAATAAGCATAGACACAATGTTGTGCCTGAGCTCCAGCTGCAGCCCCTTACAAAGCTGGCAAACCAACCCCAACTCCAGTTTCAGCTTCAACCTGCATCGAGTCTCGAGTCAGCATCTCTTTATCTCATTTCTCAATTTGTACATCTTTCATTCCTCCACACGAGTAACCTCTTTATATTCTGTTCATTCCCATTTTCTAGCAGAAGAACAAGGACAAGTGGAGGAAAGAGTCAATGCACTCAATCGTCACTGCAAAGCCTTCTTTTAACCACTTGCTAATGTAACCAATTTATTTGCAAACCCTTGTGGAGGGTCTTCCCAAATTAGAAAAAAAAAACTTCATTTAAAGCACTTTTAAAAAGGTAGCACTTCCTAAAGTATAAGATTAAAACTAACGAGGTGAACTTCTAACAGATGTTTAAATAGCAAAAGACTAGACTTGTCGCAATCAATTTTGCTGGGCGATTAATTGTCTTGGAAATTATTGCGATAAACGATAATATTGTCAGCCTGTTAGCTTAGCTCGTAGCTTAGCTTCTCAGCTTAGCTGCTTTTAATGATCCAAAAACGTGATTTTGGACAGTTAAAACAGATTTTAAAGGGAAAAGAGAAAGGGAGGTGTCAGTGAAGAGCACCAAAGTTGAGCTTTTTGTCATCCAGTGTCTTCAGTAGAAAGAGAGAGACACAAAGAAACGATAAAGCCGATAAATGAAAATGAGGTTGATAATTTTCAGTCATCATGCGATTAATTGATTTATTGTTTATCGTGACGGGCCTACAAAAGACCAATATTTGGTGAGTTCAAATGGACAACCAAGATGATTGAGCTGCTGCCTCTCAGCGAGAAGGTCATCAGATCACTTCCCAGCCCGGGGCCACTTTGAATGGAGTTTGCATGTATGGGTTTTCTCCAGGTACTCCGGTTTCCTCCCACAGACCAAAAACATGCATGTTAGACTGATTGGTAACTCTAAATTGTCCCAAGGTGTGAGTGAGAGAGCGAATGGTTGTTTGTCTCTATGCGTCTCTGTGACGGACTGGAAACTTGTCCAGGGTGTACCCAGTCTCTTGCACAGTGACTGCTTGATATGGCCACCAGTGACGCCCCCACGACCCAAAAAGTAAGAAGCGGGTAAAGATAATGGATGGATTGATGGATGCTTTTGCTGCCTATTTAGACAAATCTCTAAATGACTCATAACTTAAGCACCAATAGACAAACAACTTTCAGCAGAAACTTCAAGCTCATATTGAGCTTATTGAGCATGCATCAGGATATTTCAAGCTCATAGTTTTTGTCTCATGATCCCCTTCATGTTCCATCTTCAAACTGTTACCCAGAGACTGACTTTGAATAAACAAACATATTGTTGAACATTTTACTTTGTAAAATGCAACTGTAAATTAAAAGGTCTCATATTCCTGGAAGGAATGCAAAGCTCCGGCTGATTTTTATGTTAGAGTTTTAAATAAACATCTTATGATGAGAAAGGATGAAGCTGTAGGAGTTTCTATCAAACTTTTAAAAAATATGTCACGCTCTGATTATGTGGTATGAACGATTCGCAGCCTTTATTGCATTAAATTTAAGCCCAATAGCTGTAAAACTGGCTGAGCTGAAGCCATTTTTGTGTTTGCTAAGGTGAACTATAATGGCCATATTGAAGGGACCGACTCCAAAAGCTCATCAGTTGAAGAAGTTTGATTATTTTCAATTTGTTCTCTGGTTCATGAGATGATTTTATCAGAATAGACAAATACACACATAGGCAAAAACATTATTGCCTCACCTTTATACCTTTATTTAAAGTTGGTGTAATTTTCCAATTTGTTAGATCTATCTTTTGTGTCCATTTTACCCCCCAAAAAATGTTTTTTTTAAATCTAATCTGGCCTTTTTAATACCGTTACATGTTTATAGACACTTAAATAGTGCAAAATTGTGTACAAATACAATGAATGAGACAAGTGATGCAGCTGTATCTACAAATTTACAACTTAAAAGTTGTTGTGACATAAATCAAACAATATTTTCTATACAACAACAGATTAATGTAATCTGTAAATCACCCACGCTCATACAATTTAGGAGACACCTGCACATCCTTTTTTGTGCCTCTCTCCAAAAAGTACATTTTAGAAAATGAAATACTTTTTTCAAAATTATTAGTTTTATTTCATTATCTCAGTTAGAAAGGAGACACAAATTACAGAAATGAGAAGAGCTGTGCGCCACACAGGATAAACACTCTCCGAAAGGGAAAAACTCAAATCTATCCCATAATTTACATAAAGTCTGCAGCTGATTAGAGGTTTGAATGCAGGATTTCATCTTACCCAAGAGGGAACAACTACAAGTCGATTTGGCTAAGGAGGCATTTTAGATCATAATTTAAATGCACATGCAAGGCCAAAATAAAAAGCCTCTTATATTTGAAACATTCTGTAAATAATTAAAAATTTAATTCTCAAGATGAGAAACGACCCCCCTGCAGGTGTCCAAATGTTTCTCTCCTTGATTGCAGACAAGTTGGCAATGACGTGTTTACCACTTTCGGCTTCCCACATACACCATGTGGGAATGTCACATTAGCCCCCCTCCCCCCGACAAAAATAAAAAGTTTTGGCTTTAACTCTGGCACCAGTTCAAAATCAAATCCAAGTGATTTGAGCAAAGACTTGACCTCAGACAAAATGTACTTAAAACTTTAAGAGACTCCCACCGAGCCAGAAAAGTTTGGAAAGTAAACCGTTGATACGGATGCACACATTTGTCACCATTCACAGAGCTGATGAGAGAGTGCGATAGTTGCCTTGTGCATCAGCAGAAACTTCATTTGGCAACTGGACAGACATGGGAGACGCACACTGACCTGCCAAATGAGGGGGGCAAGTGACGATCACAGCCCGGCACAGGAAGGTGTCGCTGTTCGTTGTGACCCTGGCCCACTCTGCATCCTGTGCACACATTTAAACAGGGAAAATATGTTTTATTAACAGGAAGGTTGCATAGATTTAAAAGAAAATCCTACATTGTTAGGTGTTCTGGAGAAGCTTGTAAGGGATATTTTGCTTTAATTTTGAGTGCAAGCATAATGTAGCTGGGTCTAATCCTTCTTATTACGAGTAGCGACACTCACCTATCTCATTGTATTAGGAAATGCGTTTCCAAAAGCCTTTTTGCAATTAATTATGTATTTCTGACTACTATTAATGGTTATTTGAGCATTTTAAGCTGCATAATCATCATAAACTTTCGTCCCTGTAAAATCGGTTTATGATAATGTAATACGATGAGTTTTAGGACCCTGGTATTCCTGTTGATCCTCCCTTGTGTCAGTCTTGCCTGACCATTGGTCAAGCTGTCTAAAGCCGCTTTGCCATTGATAAGTGCAACTCCACTCAGTTCTCATCTTAATGGTTCTTCTCAGGTGTAGGTGATTGCCTCTGTGACTTGTTTCCATGCTCTGTGGGTGGGATCATAAATGCAAAGTAATCAGTTTCTTGTAGCGCTGTTCAACTTGCGCCGAATCCTATTTGGCACAATAGGATCCGCTAATAAAGACAGAAAGGTCCGAACCTCATCATTGGTCTTTGGCACAGTTTTTGGAGCTTCCATATTGAACTAGAACATAGAAAACTAGAAAAACACAAACTAAATCACGCTCTACAATGATTGGAGAGGAAATTGCAGCTCAGATTGGCACTGGAAACTGGAGAGACGGGGCAGATCACTTTTCCAAAATTGACCATTGGAAGAGTCTTGGGTGAGTGGATTCCACTCAGTTAGCTCCCACTAGCTTAGCAGCTAAAAGCAACCACACTGTCCATGGTTGATTGGTGCTGTTTGAGAAACAGGCTTGAGGTGAAGTTAATGTTACAAGTGTGATGTGGTTGTGTGGAAATAGCCATGTTTTGTCACCAGTGATGTCTCAAAATTGTAATTTGTGTTACAGTGAAGCTAGGCCACAGAGTTTTCCTTTTGCACTTCATACACTGATTAGTCTCTTTAGAAAGATTTGTTCAATTAGCTTTGTAGAGATCTAGTGGAGTGCTGTGTGAATGGGTAAATGAGGCACAGATTGTAGTGTAAAGTGCTTTGAGTATCTTGAAATAAGATAGAAAAGCGCTATATAAGTACAGTCCATTTACCATTTACCATGCACTTGCAGAGCCACTGTGAGGAAAAACTCCCAAGCTGTATTTTGCAAATGGGTTAATATTGTGGTGGCATGGTGGCACGGTTGGTAGAGCTGTCAACTCTCAGCGAGAAGGTTGCTGGATTGAATCCCGGCCTGAGGACCTTTCTGGGTGGACTTTGTATGTTCTCTCTGTGCATGCGTGGGTTTTCTCTGGGTACTCCGGTTTCTTCCCACACACCAAAAACATGCATGTTGGTCTGACTGGTAACTCTAAATTGTCCTTAGGTGAGAACGAGAGAGTGAATGGTTGTCTCGTTTGTCTCCAAGTGTCCCTGTGATGGACAGGAGACCTGTCCAGGGTGTTCCCTGCATCTCACACAGTCACTGCTGGATATGGGCACCAGTGACCACTGTGACCCAAAGGAAAAAGCAAGTAAAAGTGGATGGATGGATGGATGGATGGATGGATGGATAATATTGCACTAGCAAAATAATGAGAAGTTATGTTTTGATTGTTTTTTGGAATGTAACGGTTGTCATATTTTAAGCCTCGAGTTGTACGGTATGCAACACAGACACTGAATTAACTTAAAAGTGCACCGTTATTGAAACTGATGTAAATAAATAAGTAAAATTGCTTTAAATCGACATTTCATAGCAGGTACACCGTACAGAAAATATGTTTAAAAATGGAAATGTATGATGATGTTATACTGTTAAAAGAACTTTGACTGGTTGCGATATGACCATATATGGAGAACAGGCTGTTCTCCCACCACTGCAACGTGTTTCCGCAACTGTGCGGTAGGGTATTGCAGTGCCACACCCCTCAATAGGGAGTTTTTCCTTTCCACTGTTGCCACTGTGCTTGCTCAGGATGGGAGACTGCAAAGATGCCAAGATTTAACTTGTCTGCTGGCCTCCTTAGATAGAGAACTTTACGAATTGGCTTTTATGTGAATGTTTCTGTAAAGTGCGCTGAGACAACTTTGTTGTGATTTGGCGCCATATAAATAAACTGAATTGAATAGACACCGACTCTGACCTGGAATGACTTGGATTGACTTGACTTATTAACTAAAGCCCAAAGAACTAACATATGGTCTGAGACACATTGTTTCTATCTCTTTTATTTTGCACTGTTATATGTGCAGCCATTTGAAAATGCATTGTTAATGGTTGTGCAAACTGTTCAATACAGTTCAGCTAAAAGGTAACTTGTGGCTCCACTCATTCTTTTCATGCCACTCCCTGCCTTTAACTTTTGTATACAAATTTAGTCCTTGGCCCAAAATCTCTAAAATCCTCCGACTGACCACCGTTGGAGATAATTTGGCACATTTTTTAAACAAATGTTAAAAATTCACGACTAAGACCAAGACTGAGAATCACTGTGAACATTGCAAGACATTCTGATGACTCCCTTATGAATGCTGGTCACCATTTTGTCGCAGCCCAGGGAGATACCATCTTTAGAGAAGCTCAATGGAGATGTTTTGGACATATACAGAGGAGGGATGGTAAATAAATTGGACAAAGGGCATTAAATATGAAGCTTCCAGGGAGAAGGAAGAGAGGAACAGAAAGGTTTATAAATGTAGTGAAGGAGAATATGGAAAAGATTGGGGTAACAGGAGGAGGATGTTGGGATGTCGTGAAATGGAGGTTCATTATCTGCTGTGGTGATCCCTAAGACAGAATCGAGAAGAAAAACAAGAAGGTCAAATATGACAGTTAAAAAAATAGACGATCTATGTTTAGTATTTTCCTGTCTGCATATGAACTCAAAAAGAACAGCATGAGTCACCTAACTTTCCCTTCACTGTGTTTATGGAAACTGTCATGTGATCGAGGGAAAGACTGTCACAAGCCAGTCTTTGTTTTCAGAAAACAGCATCAGTTGGCATCAGCTGTGACAACTTGATATGGAGGAATCGGTCATATCCGATGGAAGTTTTAGTTCAAAAAATCCGAAAATGGGAGTCTGGAGCAGCACTCTGAGACCGGCCCTTCTATTACAAGGGTTTACAACCTCATACTTCATTACTTTGAAAGCGAGTGCTTCAGTAATGCCCTTGCCAAAACATTTTTCAAAGCTGTTGCCCATTAATATATGAAATATAACCTGAGTTTTTATGGAGTTGGGCTCTCATAGTGGCAGATATTGAACAGTGAGGAAGAGAAGGGATGAATTCTTGTTCTTTTTAAATCAAGTAATTTGAAAACCATGGATATTACGCGTTTTTCTTTTCATTTATTAGTTCAAGATGAATTTATCTGTTTTTCTGTATGAACATTATGCATGCTTGGATTCTTTTGGGGCCCACAAATGATCCAAATTAGCATCCATCCTCCTCAGTCAAGCTGGTAAACAGTATGTAGAACAAGACTCCTGCTGGTTGACTTCTTAATGATTCACACACACATGAAAGGACATTTTAAATACTACACAGCCTACAAGAGTTTCCACGTGAATTTCACTGACCAAAAATATAATCGCAACACTTTTGTTTATGCTCCCATTTTTCATGAGCTGAACTCAAAGATCTAGGACTTTTTCTGTGATACCAGAACAGATGCACCATCACCTCGACCCCGTCATCGAGCACCACACCCCGACCTCCCGGGACTTCTGTATCGAAAATATAACTTATTATTAAATGTTAATATGTTCGTAGCATCGTCATCGTACAGACGTGCAACCTGTGTGGGAGCGTGCAGCCTGTTGAGTCTCCCTCATGGTCAGAGGGTTTCTGATGCTTTAGTATTTCTAAAAAGATATTAAGAGCTAAAAAAATGAATATTTATTCCCCAGATTACAGTAGTAGCAACAACAAGGTGTTGCGGCTGTTTGATTGAGCTAAACTTAATTATATTTAGAACAATGTAGCTGTACTGTGATAAATTTAATTATTGATCAAAAATGAAAAATAAATGGTATTAAATGACTACATGAGCTGAAATCCAGTAAATATAATCCATTTGAATGAATATTATTTTAGGGGAGAAATCTGTCAGTCTAGAATAAACAAAAATATTAAGTTAATTTCTAGGCTACTCTTCAAAGGACTTTCTGTGCTATATATATATATATATATATATATATATATATTATATATATGACAACCCCTCTAAAAGTATACTAGAGAAAAGTTGTTCAAACCATCTCTTCAGAAACTGCTGGTCTTCGTGGTGCAGGTTAAAGTCTTTACAACTTCAACGTTTCATAAGAGAACATTATATTGTGTACTTTTACTAAGGTCATGTACACAGTATGCTGTGTACTTTTAGCAAGATTATGTACACAGTATGCTGTGTACTTTTAGTAAGATTATGTACACAGTATGCTGTGTACTTTTAGTAAGGTCATGTACAAAGTATACTATGTACTTTTGCTAAGGTCATGTACACAGTATGCCATGTACTTTTAGTAAGATTATGCACACAGTATACTGTGTACTTCTACTAAAGCCATGTACACAGTATAGTGTGTACTTTTGCAAAGGTCATGTACACAGTATACTGTGTACTTTTGCAAAGGTCATGTACACAGTAGAGTGATACTATTGTTAAGGTCATGTAGACAGTATAGTGTGTACTTTTCCTAAGGTTATGTACACAGTATACTATGTACTTTTGCTAAGGTCATGTACACAGTATGCTGTGTACTTTTACTAAAATCATGTACACAATATACTGTGTACTTTTACTAAGGTCATGTACACAGTATAGTGATACTATTGCTAAGGTCATGTACACAGTATACTGTGTACTTTTGCTAAGGTCATGTACACAGTATGCTGTGTACTTTTGCTAAGGTCATGTACACAATATACTGTGCACTTTTACTAAGGTCATGTAATTTACATAAAAACCTTTGTGAATTGATCCGTATGCAGGAAAAAGCTCCCAAACGTGTGGTACTGGTGTGAGAAATTAAAAAAATTTCAGTCAAAAAATATATTTTTTCTACTTAAATTCATATATCAGGCCCGATACAAAAAGCCCTAATATGAAGTACAGTATGTGTTATTAATGACTATTAAAGTTCAGTAAAAACTGAGTTCTAGCCATCGTTGCATTGACTAACTTTGATTAGCTTAATTTTTGAGCTGGGTTATCTAAGCATTAGCTTAGCCTGGGCTAAGAGCTCTACCTTTATTTTTCCATCCCTGTGCTTCATGACTGATGTCACAGCTGTCAGTGAACAAGTATTCACAACTTTTCAACACCAGACCATCCCTTCAAACTGTTACAGATGAATTTATAGTTTCGAACATCCTTATGAATCATAAGTACTCTTCCAGTTTTAACGTATCATGGCACTGTTGCCTCTCAACAAGAATGTCCGGGGTGTAAATGCAACCTCACCAACTGGGATTTAAAAGTGTGCTCTTTTGTCTGAGCTCTACTTCAGCCATGAAGTGGGAACTCTAAAGTGCCAGTGACTGAGTGTAAATGTGTTTCTCTGTCAATATGTGTTGGACACATTGGAAAACTGGCAAAATGTCAAGGTTGTGCTCGGCTTCTCGACCACCTCGCGCTACATGATACACCAACACTTCCAATAACCTTGTGCATAAGTGGGCATAGAAAACATCTAATGGTCCTTTATCCTTCATTGTCCAAGTCTTTAGTGTATTAGGAAGTATGACAGCAACAGATTTTTTTTTCCAACATTTTATTTTTGTTTGCTTTATTTCCTAAATTAATATCATAAACTGACATTTTTGTGGGGGAAGTAATAAATCAATAAACCGCCTCTCGCGGTGATTGATGGATATGGGTACTAGTGATCGACACGACCCGGAAAGATGAGGCTGGGAAAGATTATGGATCCATGGACAAATCAATAATTACTTTTGAAATTTAACATTTTTTCAGAATCATAATTAGAGTTATGATTCAACTCTAAAGGTTTTGTTTCCTTAATGTGTATTTTAACGTGTAACTGACAAACTGTCTTTATAATCAGTCTTGATATAATCAATACAATTGTAATGTTATATGCATAATCATCAATATGATAACTCTTTAAAATTTTTCTTTTTAAAAGAACAAATTTCCTTTGCACTTTCCCTAAATTTAACAAAACCTTAAAATGTATCGGTTTATATTAGCTTTTTTCCTTCTTTCGGCTGCTCCCTTCCCGAGGGGACGCCACAGCGAACTAATTCACACGAAGACTTGGCAATTGTTTTTACACCGGATGCCGGTGGTCATTGGCATCAGAAGCAATTGTAATGTAACACCTAAGTACTTGTAACTGGAGACCACTTCCTCCGCACATTCTATATTTGGGGGAGGGGGGGGGAGGTGCGTTTGCTCCTTCTGAAATCCACGATCATCTCCTTCGTCTTCTTCACATTGATGTGGAGGTTGTTCTTCCTGCACCAGCTCTTCAGGTGTTCCACCTCCCGCCTGTAGATGGACTCATCGTTGTTTGGGATGCATCCAACCACGACAGCCTGGATGCGCCGTCAAATGTGAGCGGAGTGAACAGGAGGGGGCTCAACACACAGCCCTGAGGGGAGCCAGTCCTGAGAGTTATGGTGGTGGTGGAGAAGTTGCAAAATCCTGATGGTTGTTTCTTTTATTTTAAGGGTGCCGAGTTAAAATTTAGGGGTGCTTCAGCACCCCCAAAAAGAGGCTACAACCAGCCCTGATCTAGGGCGCCCTGGTATATCACTCAGCATTATAACACTGAAAAATGTTGTTGCTGAGGTAGAGGTAAAAAATAAATGTAATTTAAATAAACATTCATATTTTAAGAACCAATATCAGGTGTGTTTGTAGTATCTCAAATAATTAGCAATCAACAGTTAAACAATCTAATTGTTTTAACAGTTGTAGCACAAACAAGAAGAAAATATGGAGAATCAACAGGAACGATTCCAGTTTCAAGGTCTCTAAGCTGCTTGTCCAACCAAAAATCTAACCCTACTTAGAGTCCAATAAAAAAAGAAGATAAATGCTGTGTACGAGTGTCTTATGAGTGACAGAAGCTACTCACTGGTAGAGACCAGCACTTAATTCTCTATTCTATAATCTATATTGCAAATGTTTTAATCAATCAGTTTGCAGAATTAACCTCAGATGTGAGTAATCAATTAGTAGACGGACAGGTATGAGGAGAAATTAATGTATTGATGGAGTCCACTGCACTTAAGAGTGCACGCTGTGGCCTCTCGGCTGTGCATGAGGGAAAAACTCATGCGGAACAGGCAGTGCCCTCACACTAGACGGGCTGTTTCCCCAGTGAGGAAGCTGTTATCTCAGTGTCGCGCCTCATCAGTCCCAGAGTGAGACGTTACTGTACTCTACCTGCCATATGGCCGTCACAGCAGAGCCCAGCCGGACATTCTTCCACCCGACACGTTCCGCCAGACACTCGGAAAGCTGCTGGGTGCCTCCCTGTGGACAGACAGATATCACACTACAAGCTGGGCTTATAACGTTAACTGAAGGTCTTTGATAATATTTTCAAAGTTCTTTAACAAATCACAGTTGTTGATGCAGTGACAGAACCGAGTGAATTGTTTTCAAATATAATTATCTTTAAAAACACATTACAATTGTTCAGTTTTTTTAGGATTTCCCTTAAAATAAAAAGATCCTACAGTAAACATCAAAGTTCATGCTCAATAATCCAGGTAGAGAATCCAACAAAGTTCAGTCAGGTCACCTGAACAGTTTTTTTTGTTGCTGTTGAGATGTTTCATCCTTCATCCAAAGGACTTCATCAATCCGAGGAGCTGCAAAAAACTCAGTCTCACAAGCAGCACACTCCTATAGTGGACCAACCAGTTTGCTGGTTGATGAAGTTCTTTGGATGAAGGACGAAACTTCTCAAAAAAAAAAAAAAAAAAAAGAAAGAAGCCATCCAGATGACCCGACTAAACTTTGTTGAATATTCTACCTGGATTATTGAGCATGAACTTTGATGTTTTGAACCATTTTGTCATATCTGCCTCAGAGGGGTTGGTGCGGGAGAGGGTGGACCCCAGAAACCATCTTATTATAAGAGTGTGCTGCTTCTGGGAATGAGTTTGTTTGTGGCTCCTTGGATTGATGAAGTCCTTTGGATGAAGGACAAAATGTAAAAACAACAACAAAAAAAAAAAAAAAAATCCAGATGACCTGACTGAACATTGTTGGATCCTACAGTAAAACTATGTTATCTTTAGAAACTATATTCCACTGCATTTGCACCTCCTTTCCACACATTCCAACTTGAACGTTGTAGATATGTTTTGTTTTTACACAAATATATTTTTCTAAATAAAAATAATCTATATAAAAATGCTGAAATACTCATGCCAGGCCAGTAGGTGGCAATAACAGTAATGGCAATACATTAAAATACAAATAAAGAGCACGGATTAAGACGATTCTGGGACAATCAAAGCTTTATCAGGTTTTATTTTTTTATTTTTGCCTTTGTTTATACATGATTTTAATTTGTTTCCATCATGAAATTAATTGTTTGGCAGTGTTTTCAAGTTCAATGTAATAAAGCTAAAACAAGCAAGGAAAAAAAAAGGTTAAAATAATAAATAAAAATAAAACAAGGGTTATTTAGTTTTGAATGCAAAAGCAAGTTAAATCGGTTTTTATGCCATTTCCCCCCGTAGTCTCTCTGAAGTCCACAAATAAAACACAAAAAACAAATTTTGAGGAAAATCTTTAGATTGCTAAGTATTTGTAAATAACAGTTTTTCTTAGTGAGAAGTGCGAACCTTTAAGTAAAAGTTTGTTTTACAAAATATCAAAGCTGATATAGACAGGGACTTTAAATTTAAACTTTAACTTTAGGAGTATTTATGTGTACTTGACAGTGATTTCATAGAAAGCAATAGTGTCGCTGTATATTTGGTGTACGCCCACTACGGCGTCATATTTTACCCCTGATCTGGAAAATAAATAAACTTGAGCCATTTATGCAGTTGTTCTAGTTTGTTCATGAGTTGTCCCAGCTCTGACGTCGTCATACTTTAATCATGTCAAATGGTTGAAATTGTGAATAACACTGAAGATTCAGCATAGACCGAGTCTGAAACCAGATGTTTAAGCTGTAATGGGGCACAACTTTTCAGTCCGCTAGTCCAAGATTCGAGTCACCCCTCAGTAGAACAAAACATTGCCCTTGGTAAAAGTAAGAAATACACCTCTAATCAGTTTTACCCAGGTGTTGACTCTCCTCATTTACTTGTTTTGTTGTATGTATTTTTCTAACACATTAAGCACCGATTACATGACCTTTATTTTAAGCGTGAAATACACAAAGATTGTGTGAAGGTGAGTAGGAAGGACGTAAAGCCCCAAATCTCTAGTCTGCAGACTTTAAGTCCAAAAATACACAATGGCAGCACTCGTAACCCATATTCAGCTGGTCCACTAAAACCAGAGGACAAGACGCTTAAGCTTATCACTAATGTAACCATCATACAGCAGCATGGGTATTTCAGCGTTTTTGTTTAAATTTCTTCTTCTCATCACATCTTTTTAATGAGAAAATGTATTATTTTACCAAATATTCAAGTAAATTAGGGATGCACAATATTGGATTGTTGGCCGATATCCGATATGCCAATATGTTAAAACTATTTTGGCCGATAAGCGATACCGATTGTTTTTTCCTAGACCAGAGACTACGTAGCTTTCTTTGCTGTGGAATTAAAATACTACATTATTCTGCATGATCTTTGTCAATTTGACCTGCTACCAAATGCAGATGTCAAAAAGGGGTCTGAAAATGATGTAACACTTCAACTTGGTTTATGTTTAATGTCAAACTTATTCATGACATTTAGTCTCTAACAAAATGACAACACTCAAACGGTGCAAATTCGTAAATTTTCACAAATCTAACCTGTTCACAATTGAAAAGCGCATAAGAAGTAGTGCATTAATAGATATAATTGACAGTTTCTTGAATTAAAAAATAACTTAAAAGAGAAGCCTTTCATATCGATGAGTTATTTTGATGGAATGGCCAATGTCCGTTATTTAACTTTATCGCTAATATCGGCCGATACCAATACCATGTTGATAATATTGTGCATCCCTACAGCAACCCAAAAGGAAAAGCAGAATTTTCTACTCTAAATCCATCCTTCTTTCTCATCATTTACAGTATACCTTAGAAGAGAAAAGCATAGCAACCCTTGTTTTGTCGTTTCTGACTTGAGTGAACATATAATATCATGAATTGTGACGAGACAGCCATGGAAAACGTCCTGTTGGTGGTTTAGTCTCATCAAAGTCAAACTGGAGCCTCCAAGCAAGCACACACATCTATGGACACCAAAAGATTTGAACTGAGTTCTGAATTGGTTTAAAACCCCAATCACAACAGAATTGCCGAAAGACATCTGCAGACTAAAGAGAAGACTGTTTAGAGAAAATAATTGTGTCTTTTTTCCTGTTTGTGGACACAAATTGTTTTCCATGTTTAAAAATTACACAAGGTGCGTTCAGGCTTCCAGAGCTCCTAAATAATTCACTCATCGTGATTTCAGAAGTTTTACTGAAAATGCAGACTGGGAAAATAAAGCCTTACTTTATTAAATAAAAACATTAATTATGAAGCAAAAAAAATGTGATTAATATTACATTTTGAGAGAGCACTGCCATGAACTGTGTCAAGGAATCTGCACTGTAAGCTCAGGGCAGCTGTGGCTGAGTGGTTAGAGCAGTCATCCTCCAATGC